TGGGGAATGGGAGGACCTTGTATTACCTCCTGAGGTGTCCTGATTTGGATCTTCCAAGGAGGTCCTCTTGAAAAACAGCTCCTGAGCTGGATTTGATGGATTCCTCCTTCCCGCAGGATCTCGGATCTCCGCAGCAAAGGACTTGAAATGGTAGGCAGGAGAAAAGAAGAAATAACCGACATCACACAACATGAAGTGGATTCTTGTTCTCTGAACACAACTTCAAAGCCCTCAGCGTCCATCAGTGTGGCTGGAAAGTAACAAAGGAACACCTGTCCCAAACATATCTAGAATGGATAACAGAACAATGGCCTACAAGAATGAGTGAAACATTTTCACCTATTATGAATGCCAGAGAACTCTGGTAGGGAGGGGTTAAGAATGCAAACACATTGTTTATTACATTCAAACCCCTTCTTAGTTCCCCCAATGAAGGTCTCTCACCTGCAACTCGACCTGCTCCTTCTGCTCCTCTGCCTGGCTCAGGAGGAAGCCTTCCACCAGGGCCACCGCTTGGGAGCTGGTCTCTGCTCCACACTCCCGCACCCAGCTCTCCATCTGCAGGGGCAGACGGGCCAGGAACTGCTCCAGAACAACCAGGTCCAACATCTGTGCTTTTGTGTGCTTTTCTGGTCTCAACCATCGACTACAAAAGTAGTGGAGTCGGCTGCAAAGTCCTCGGGGACCATCAGCCTCCTGGTATTGAACATTCCTGAAGTTCCAGGGCTGAACTTCTGAATGGATGGATTCCTCCTCCAGGATCTCCTGCCCACTTCTTCCTTGGATCTCCCCACAGCTCCCAGGCTCAACAGCACAACGGCCTTTTCCAGTTCTCTCACTCGCTAAAGGTTGTCTCTCCATTTTTTCTCTGTCCTGTAACACAACTCCAAATGGATCCAAGGAATCTTGCGGATCTCCAAAAGCCTTGTCATTCATTGGAACATTACTGTAGCCGCAGGAATGACCACAGCAGCCATTCAGCCCTCTTTGCCCAAGAGATAAATTAGTCTGTATGTGAGGGTGTACAAATGGTTTTCGGTTTGTGTATCTGAGATGGAAAAGAAAATAAATTCCAAGAATTAGAAGGTGGTGGATTTAACCATTCAACAACACTCTTCCCTATGGAAGGAAGTATTTTTCTGAGCTGGTACAGGATTGCAGTGGCACTGAGCAAATAATTCCTCTCTCTGTGTGTGGGTATGTGTGTGTCTGTGGTGCAAAATATGAGATTGACTTCTATCAAGGAACATGGAATAAATGCATTGTGGAGCATTTTCTATTTCTTTTTCTTACAAAGAAGGCCTTGCTTTTTAAACACCTAGATCTACACTTACCTACAAGCAGGGTTCATCCAATATGCCAAACCCCAAACAGGCCAACAAACCAAGAAAGTTCAGTTCACATAAAATGAAAGGCCAGTGAAATGACCCTGGCTTAGGATGTTCCATTTTGCTTTTTCCAAGGTCTGCTTTTTAAGATCCAAGTCATACTATTACATGCGGGCAGGTTCACACAACATGCCCTAGCCCAAACAAGTCAACCAATCTCAGGGACTGAGTTCACATAAAACACAGGGCTTGAAAGAATGTAGCTTAAGATGAAGTCCTGCTTCACTCACCCTTCTAAGACATGTTGAACTGCAGAGGATCCAACCCTATTTTAGTCTCATCCAGCACATGGGGAGAATGCAGACACAATCTTTTGCATCTGCTTCCTTGCAAACCCTGTCTTATTTTCTGCTTGAGATTTGCAATGCAAACTCTCCCTCTCTCCCCTCTCGGGGGCTTTGCCCAGGAAATGGGGTGTGAAGGGCTCCCCAAGATCACCACCCTCCTTCCTGGGGATCCTGGATTTATTCCTGGGGGCAACATGGCTCTGTTTTCTCCCCTGCCTGTTACGTGCATGGAAAGGGGTGGCAGGGGAACCGGGCTCTCCCGGTTCCCAAGCCTCAAAAGATCGAACCTGGGTGAGGACTTGGCATGTGTCTCTTCCTTCTCCAGGGTGAGGACCCTCTGCCTCCCTTTGCACGGGAAGATGGCCCCCACTCACCCAGGGCCAAGTCTGGATCTCTTCCCTGTAAGACTTTCCTGCAACCTTTTTACCTCCTGTGTAGCTCAACGGGTTAAAGAGAGAGAGAGTGCAGCATCCTAGAGAGGCAAGACGTAGTGATGTCACTCCATTTCCACCTCCTTTGGAGAGTCACCTGTGGCATTCTCCCTCCAGTGGCCCAAGGCTGAAGTGCATCGTGTTTCCTTCCGTTTGCAGAGGGAACCCCTGGTGGATTCTGTGTGGAGATCAGGTGTTCATGCAAAGAGGGGAGAAAGGATGCACTTCCTATTAGGGGCCAGGAGGAAGAAGGCTGTCACTTCCCCCTGATCAGGAAGCCTTCTCAATCCAACTGCTTCTGACAACGTTAGACCCATCTCTAACCTTTCATTTTTAAAAACGTTCAGAAGAAAGTCACATCCCTGTGTAGAGAGAGCAGAGGAAGGGAAGAAACAGACAAGAAATGGAATTCAGCATTCTTAAAAGAGATCAACGGGAAACACTGTCAAGCTTTCAAGATTCTATTATTATACCCCACAGAAATATGGTAGAGCTCCAGTAGGTTTTGTGGTATCCAGTTCCTGACCTGGCTTGCCTGAAAGGGCTGGCATTCTGCAACTGCAGAGATTCTTAGAGGAAGCTGATTATTTGGCTCCTTGGCAATCTGTTCCCAACCAGGATACAG